ATCTCCCTTGCATTTTGTTTCTCTTCTCTGCTATTTGTAAGGCCTCATTGGATAGCCACTTTGCTTTCTTGCATTTCCTTTTCTTTGGCATGGTTTTGTTGGTGCCTCCTGTACAATGTTACAAGCCTCCATCCATAGTTCTTCAGGCACTCTGTTCACCAAATCTAGTTCCTTATATCTGATCTATACTTCCACTGTGTATTCATAAGGGATTTGGTTTAGATTATACCTGACTAGCCTAGTGGTTTTTCCTACTTTCTTCAGATTAAGCTTGAATTTTGCAATGAGAACCTGATGATCAGAGCCACAATCAGCTGCAGGTTTTGTTTTTTCTGACTGTAGAGAGTTTCTCCATCTTTGGCTGCAGAGAACATAATCTGATTTCGTTGTTGCCCATCTGGTGATGTCCATGTGTAGAGTCGCCTCTTGTGTTGTTGGAAAAGAATGTTTGTGATGACCAGCTTGTTCTCTTGACAAAACTCTATTAGCCTTTGCCCGGCTTCGTTTTGAACTCCAAGGCCAAACTTACCTGTTGTTTCTTTTATCTCTTGATTCCCTACTTTAGCACTCCCATCCCCTATAATGAGAAGGATATCTTTCTTTGGTGTCAGTTCTAGAAGGTGTTGTAAGTCTTCATAGAATTGGTCAATTTCAGCCTCTTCAGCATCGGTGGTTGGTGCATAAACTTGGATTGCTGTGATGTTGAAAGATCTGTCTTGAATTCGTATTGACATCATTCTGTCATTTTGGAGATTGTATCCCAGTACAGCTTTTCCCACTATTTTGTTGATTGTGACAGCTATTCCATTTCTTCTACGGGATCCTTTCCACAATAGTAGATATGATAATTGTCTGAATTGAATTCGCCCATTCCTGTCCATTTTAACTCACTGACACCCAGGATGTCAGTGTTTATTCTTGCCATCTCTTGTTTGACCACATCCAGCTTCCCAAGGTTCATAGATCTTACATTCCAGGTTCCTATGCAGCATTTTTCTTTGCAGCATCAGACTTTCACTTCCAGGCACATCCACAGCTGAGCATCCTTTCGGCTTTGGCCCAACCACTTCATCAGCTCTGGAGCTACTTGTACTTGTCCTCCACTCTTCCTCAGTAGCTTGTTGGATGCCTTCCGACCTGAGGGGCTTATCTTCTAGTGTCATATCTTTTAGCCTTTTATTTCTGTTCATGGGGTTTTCTTGGCAAAGATACTGACGTGACTTGCCAGTTCCTGCTCCAGGTGGATCGCGTTTAGTCGGAACTCTCCACTATGACCTGTTCATCTTGTGTGTTCCTGCATGGCATAGCCCATAGCTTCTCTGAATTACTCAGGCCCCTTCACCACGACAAGGCAGCAATCCGTGAAGGGGACAACAGTGTGGAGGTAGGACAGTGATTAAGATTATGCTGATCAATAGGGAGAGTAGTGCATTTGCACTGCTATGCCTCTCTGTCCAGATGCAATATCTACTTCATCTTGTGTAACTTGCTCCTTCATCTTGTGTAACTTGCTCCTTAATAATTATGTATAGGATTGCATCCTGGATATAAAGTCATTTAGAGATCAACCAACTTAGAGCACTGTTGAGTATATGAGAAGGACTATAGCATATCCACTCAGAAGAAACATAGCTAAGTTTGGTTGGTCTTCCTCCTAAGTAGCCCAGTGCTCTTAGGCCAAATAAAGGTTTTTTTTCCCTTAGGTGTCATCTCTATTACAGTCTTAGTGCACTCTAGTGACCATTGCACTTTGTAAATCTGATTATAAAAAGTAGTCAAGAGTTCATAGTTTTGAATAAAATGAAAGTTTGCCAAGTATAGTATGTCACCTCTTTCAGTTGTAATGTGGAGGACCGGTGGCAGTTATTCTAAGTGCAAGGCACTGGATCCAACTTTTTATGCACTCCCATTCAGTAAAATGTGTGTGTGTGTGTGTGATTTATATACCACCCTGTTGGTGCATACACTACTCTGGGTAGATTACAAGTTAAAACTTAAAAATCTCAAAGATCCCACATGGCAGTACATGTAACAGTATTGCAGTTAAAGAAAAACACCATTAAAAAGAGGGAGAAAACAGAAGAAGAAATTTAATATTAACAGCATCCAGATGACTCAGTTGTCAAAGGCAGCTTTGAATACTTGTTTTTAACAGTTTCCTGAACATCAGGCATATATATGTAAAAGTTACACAGTCACACACATGTATGCTTCATTTTATTTCTTCCTTTGATTGCCACCTTTGTTTTACTGTAGCAGGTAGACAATGTAGTAGGTAACATATATAAGTTCCTGCACACAGGGATCAAGTTGCTCTGTCTTTTCTGTTTGCAGGCCCAGTTTGATATAGCTGTTGCAAGTGAAATCATGGCAATCTTAGCACTGACAAGCAGTCTGTCCGATATGAAAGAAAGACTGGGGAAAATTGTTGTTGCTAACAGTAAACAGGGGCAACCTGTGACAGCAGAAGATTTGGTATGTATCATGTAATGCTTCTTGCAAGTAGTTCCTGTTTTAAGGACCAGTGAATCTTCCTTAAATTTTGAAGTCGACATTCAACTCATTTCAGGGTTGCCAATGTCTCACTTTTTCCAACTGTTTAAGAGCCATATGGGAAGCCATATTTTGATCAAAATTGCTGGTTAGGTGAATTTCCAACTTCTGAGTCCTTTTTTAAAGCAATATATTGTGTAAGCCCACATCCATATCTCCCCTTTGTTACTCTTGAACTTCCCGTTGTACTTTCTTCCTTCTGTACAGAGGGGTTATCTGTCTAACAAAGAAAATGGCCTAAAACTGGGGCAGTTTCCCAAAGTCCCCCAGCAGCTCTCCAAGTTAAAGTAAACATGACGTATTATAAGAGAAAAGTAACAATGGTCATTATCATTTTCTTGTAAAAGGAATTTAATTATGCTCTCATTACCCCCAAACAGTGTGTTGTAACAATGCAATATATCTTGTTGTCTTTTTCTAACTCACCTTTAAGAAACAGACCAGGCACAACTATCTGCCGTAAATATTTGGGACTCTCATTTAAATTTTTTCTGCACTATTCACAATATATTGGTGCATAGCCTGAAGAAGTGGATTTAACCCATGAAAGCCTGCTGATTGTTAGGGGGTTTTTTTGGTGGTCTAATGAGGGTATCATCTACTTCTGTGTTTATATTGTAGCATTAAATGGATCTTAATGTTGGCTTAATCATGTCAGAGGCTAATGCCAAGTCTGAACTGCTGCTTGGTTCTACAGCAAGGATGGGAAACATGTGGACTGTACAGTTGTTGGATTTTGTCCCCATGATCCCTCAGCATTGGCTATGCTTGCAAATGATCATGGTGGTTGGAGCCCTACAACATGTGGAGCTTTATTTAATGCTTTGTTGTAGCATCTGCCTGTTTTAATTGTACTATTGCTCTTTGGCATTTTACCATATTGTATTATCAGTTTTAATTGTTCATTGTCCTTAGTGGTGGAACGTAAGTCTTTCTATAAATATAATTAAATAGAAGCAAAAGCATAAAGTTCTGCATAAGAAAAGATACCAGTCCTACCCACAAATAGCTTTTGGGGGGGTTGGGTTTTGTTTGTTTTCTTGTTTGTTTGGGTGTTGTTGTTGTTGTTGTTGTAAAATAGGACCACATTTCCATCAGCAGTTGACTCATACAAACACACACGTTTCTTGTCCTGCACAATTTTCTGTATATTAAAATTGTATTTTGACAAACAGGTTTTGAATTCATTATTGAATGTTTAGCCGAAACCACTAATTCCTCCTCTCTTTATATGTTTCGGATGTGAATAATGTTTAATATACCCTGCAAGTATGCCATTGCTCTTAATTTCAGGGTGCTAGACCACATTTTCAGTCTAGTGTAATGGAATCTAAAATACACACACTGGCTGATGAAAAACAGATGCTGTAAGGGTTGGAGGAGGGAGGGGGCAGAGAAGAAAAGATAAATGGAATATTTCATACACTGAGAGTATCCTTTCACAAGTGAGTTCTAAAAAGCCAACCTCTATAATAGAACTGTAGAATTTTGTTGCCTACGTACAATGTTCTTTGAACAGACCTCTGAAGACTAGATTGCAGTTTGGCTGCTGTCTTACAGCAAAATGTTTGATGGGCCGATGCCATATCTCTATAGTAATTAACTCTGCATGCTCACCCATAGTATTTTAGCAGCCATAAGCAATAATACCTAAATATGTAATTATCTGTGTAGTAAAGATGTTCTCAAATTCCTGTGCCATTTTCTTTTAAATATTGAAAGGGTCATCTTTTCTGTGCTTGTATCTCAGTTAGTGGCCATAGACTTTACTGAATCACATTGAGGTTCCCTGTAAACCGGTCTAGCCTGTCATTCTGTTTCCAGAATGATCAGTTGCTTGGAAGCCCAGAAGCAGAGAATAAAGGAAATTTCCCTCTCTTGTTATTGTTCCCTGGTGTGTGATATTTAGAGCCCCACTGCTTCTGGGCCTGTAGAGGTCATGTAACAGTTGTGATACATGAATCTTCCATGAGTGTTCCAGGCATCTTCCATGCATATTCTATCTTGTGGCAGTGGGTTCCATGGTTTAATTGTATATCTTGTAAATTAGTGCTCCATTTAGTGCTTATGAATTTTCCACCAGTTAGCTTCATTGGATGGTGCTATATTGTAGTATTATGCAGTAGAACCCCCTGTCCACAGGATCAATATCCACTGATTCCTTTATTCTCTACCTGGAACCACTAAATAAAAAGCCCAGAAATAAATATTTATATGTATTTCCATGGTGTAGTTACCGGAACTGGCAGAGGCCATGCAATGTATAGCTTTTGATATTTTCCCTTTTTTTGTTTTTTTCATCTGGAGGGCTTGAAACTGATTCCCTGCAGATACTGCAGTCCTACAGTACAAGAAAAGGGAAAACATGTTGGTCAGTTTTGTACACACGAAATCTAATTTTAGCAGGCAATTATCATCTTGTCCAAGCTGTCTGTTCTCTAAAGTAAGAAAGTTCGATTTATTGTAGTATTTCCACATAGAAAACAATTCTACAATAGCCTTTTCATTTTGTCTTATTATCAGTCTTTCTCCTTCTTATTTACATGTTTATCTTTTTTACCCAAATAACTACTCTGAATGTATGAGGGCTGCAATTAAATATTTTTGAACTGGGAGCAACGTTGGCTGGTTACTGCCCTGCCTTAGCTGAGCAAGTTGGTTCCTTAAGATAGTTCACTTGAGCATTTGAGCTACAAGGAGATTTCATCTGGAAGCTAAAGCTAGAAGTAAAATTAAAGCTAACCTAAAGTATCTCTAATTTCAGGGAATTACTGGGGCATTGTTAGTTTTGATGAAGGATGCAATTAAACCAACACTGATGCAGACATTAGAGGTAAGTCCAGTCATCTGTACAGTCTAAACTTTTATTTCTCTGCTTATAAAGCAATATCTAAGATGTTAAAATGTTTCTAAATGATATTTTTTTAAAAAAGCATTTTGTTTATGTCCTGCTTTTTCCAAGGGGAGGCACCAAAATCTGATCATGGATTTTATCCAGTGGTGTCCATCCACCAGCAGAATAGACATTGCTGGCAGAAGGAGGTGCTCTCAGTCGTGAACACATGCCTTTCTGTTCTAGTACAGATGTTTATGGGCCTTTCTGAATCAGATTTGGGGAAATGGTGGGGTGTTCATAGAATTATAGAAAAATTAAGGTGTAAGCAGCCTATAAAGTAACAGAATCCAAGTCCCTGCTTAGCTCAGGAATCCAAATTAAATTATATCTGATAGATGGCTGTCCAGTGATAATTGGTTCCATTGTCATACCACTCCCTGTTCTTTTTTTAACCTTAGGTCATCTTAGGTAAAAAAAAATTTTCCCCCTAGTGGTAGAGTACGTATTAACCAGCTTTGCATTAGTTCCTATGGGAACTAATGCTTCAATGTACGAACGCACCTCTACATAACAAAAAAACAGCCAGAACGGATTAATTGGTTTTCAGTCCATTCCTATGGGAAATTTTGCTTCAACTTAAGAACGTTTCAACTTAAGAACACCATTCCAAAACCGATTAAGTTCTTAAGTAGAGGTTCCACTGTAGTTTCTATGGACGGAAAAGAGCAGATACGGATTAAATGGTTTTCAATGCATTCCTATGGGAAATGCAGATTCAACATAAGAACTTTTCAACTTGAGAACCACCTTCCAATACGGATTAAGTTCTTAAGTAGAGACCCCACTGTAACAGAATCCAAGTCCCTGCTTATCTCAGGAATCTAAATTAAATTATATCTGATAGATGGCTGTCCAGTGATTTCATCTGGAAGCTAAAGCTAGAAGTAAAATTAAAGCTAACCTAAAGTATCTCTAATTTCAGGGAATTACTGGGGCATTGTTAGTTTTGATGAAGGATGCAATTAAACCAACACTGATGCAGACATTAGAGGTAAGTCCAGTCATCTGTACAGTCTAAACTTTTATTTTTCTGCTTATAAAGCAATATCTAAGATGTTAAAATGTTTCTAAATGATATTTTTTTTAAAAAGCATTTTGTTTATGTCCTGCTTTTTCCAAGGGGAGGCACCAAAATCTGATCATGGATTTTATCCAGTGGTGTCCATCCACCAGCAGAATAGACATTGCTGGTAGAAGGAGGTGCTCTCAGTCTTGAACACATGCCTTTCTGTTCTAGGACAGATGTTAATGGGCCTTTCTGAATCAGATTTGGGGAAATGGTGGGGTGTTCATAGAATTATAGAAAAATTAAGGTGTAAGCAGCCTATAAAGTAACAGAATCCAAGTCCCTGCTTAGCTCAGGAATCCAAATTAAATTATATCTGATAGATGGCTGTCCAGTGATAATTGGTTCCATTGTCATACCACTCTTAACAGTTAAGAAAATTTTCCTGATATAAAGTCGAAATCTAGCTTCCTGTAACTTGAACTATTTATTACGTTTCCTGCACTCTGGGATGGCTGAGAACATGTCTTCCCTCATGAACTTGTTTTCCCTCCTCCTTTCTTGAGGGAAGACATCAAAAGAAATTCCTGTTATGCTAGTGGGCTATGCTCATGTGACAATGGATTGTACTGCACAGTTCCTTGCTAGGCATGGTAAGAGGCATATTGTTGGAAGTAGCTTCCCCAGTTCAGGAATGATGCAACTTCTAATGATCTGGAAGTGTCTTGTGCCAACTTAAAGGTACTTCCTTTTGCACTGGCAGAGTTTTGCAGTCTCTGCCCACTCACCCATCCACCTGCCGCGCCAGTACTAGATGCCCTGCCATTTTTGAGAATTAGACAGCTCTCTGAATCAGATTTTCTGGAGTGTTGACAGCAGTGGCAATAAAGTGCAGGTAACTGAAGGCAGAATACAGTTTTGACTTCTTGTGACCAAGCCATTTTTAACATCTACGGCTGTTATCTTTACTTCTTTTCTTCCAATTTTTGTGGCGCCACCCGTTCACAGCCTTTGCTCTGAGAATTCTGACACAGGAATTGTGGATCATAGCTTGTCACCCTTCATAACTCATGAAAAATAAATGACTCTGCTTAAGTAGTATGTTGTGTTTACTTGTGTAAAAAAAAACCCACCCTATTTCTACAATAATCATAGTGCTATGTATTAATGAAACAAGAAGTTAGTTTCTGGAATGGCACTGTTCAAAAGGCAAAAAGTAGAGTATCTGGAATCCGCATTTCCATCTGACACTCATGGGAGGAGTACTCTATTAGAGCAAAAACAACAAAGGGTCCTGCGACATCTTAAAGATTCATTAATTGCAGCCCATTTCTTCAGTTGCATCGGATACATTTGAAGAGCTGGGATAGAGTGTGTATTTGCTTACCTCTTTGTCTTTAAGGTGCCACGCACACAAAAAGACACTGTGATCTCTGACCCATCAGACGAAACTCATGAGATTGTCTGCAGCTCTTTGCCAAAGTGCCAATCGCACAATCAGGCCTGCAGCTGACACCTTTCTAAATAACTGTGGTTGCTTTTGTGATTTCTCTTCCATTCAAGAAAATCCAGCAGTGTATTGGTCTTGGTTGATTTTATGTGATACTTCTATCAAGTCTACATGCATGTTTAGATCTTGGTGCTAGGCATAGAAATGTCACAAGTGCTTTGGTTTAAGCAAGACATTTTTGCTTAGATAATTTTTGCTTCCAAAATTAATGATCGTAGAAGAGTAGGGCTGGAAGGGACTATAGAGGACATAGTCCAACCCCCTGCCAAAGGAGGAAGTCCCCATCTAAAGCATCCCTGACAGGTGGTCATCCAACCTTCAGAGAGTTCCAAAGCAATCCATTCAATCATGGAACAGCTCTCATTGTTAGGAAGTTCTTATTAATGTTGACTTGAACCTCCTTCCTAGCAATTTAAATCAATTACTTTTGATTTTATCCTCTGGAGCTGCACAAAACAAGATCACACCATTTTGCACAAATATTTGAAGATAGGGGCTATCATAAAATTCCATTCCTCTTATCTCCAGGCTAAATATATCCAGTTCCTTCAGCTGTTTCTCCTAGGCCTTGGTTTTCAGACCTTTTACCATCCTGGTTGCCCTCCTCTGGGCATGTTTCAACTACTTAATATCCTAGTTAAACTGATTGGATGTAGAAATGCTGTGTTTCTGAGGCCATTTCAAATGAGCTCGGAAGGTTAGGGAGAAGCATTCAGAACAATGTAGGAAGTGATACATAAGGCTGTAAAAAAGAAGGAGGGGACCCATGGAAACCTCCTTCCCTCCTTCTTCCATGAGAAAGGGGATTGAACTGAAGAAGCTCTGCTCTTTGAGAAAGGTCCATTCTTGATCCAAGCCATTGTCTTATCCTTTTAGATCTTTCATTGGAAAAATTTAGCACAGCAAATGTGTGCGCTCACAAAACACATTATTGCTTTCTTGAAAATATGCATTATCACATGCCTTGTACAGTATATATGAGAGTTTACATTTATGTGGTTATTTTTTTATTAGAACCAGCTTTCTCTGTGACTAATTTTGTTTTTGTTTTTAACCAGCCGCTCTTTTTTGTGGCCAAGTGTGGGTGCTTTAGCAATATTTCATCAAAAGCATTCCAAAAAAGTATAGGAATGCTAAAGAAAATTGCTGACACACTGCGTGCAATAGATGTGTACAATGCCTTTAGTTTGCATTGTGCATGGGATGCTTATTAGAAGATGTCACTTAATAAAGAGCCGCAGCGTTATTGTATTATTTGTAATGACAGCAGCTATAAATGTCATTCAATTGATAGCATGAGTCTGTTCATGGAAGCCATACTAGTATCTCTAGAGCCATGTTCTATTGCTTAAGATAAACATATTGAATTATGTCAGTTCTCCGGTCCTGATTCTTGTCATCCTATCAAGAATATTATGCTGCTGCAATACACTGGTCTCTCACATGAGAACTTCTAAAATATTGCCCTACATGCTAATGTAGCTCATTGGATGGTTTCCATTCAAGAAAATCCAGCAGTGTATTGGTCTTGGTTGATTTTATGTGATACTTCTATCAAGTCTACATGCATGTTTAGATCTTGGTGCTAGGCATAGAAATGTCACAAGTGCTTTGGTTTAAGCAAGACATTTTTGCTTAGATAATTTTTGCTTCCAAAATTAATGATCGTAGAAGAGTAGGGCTGGAAGGGACTATAGAGGACATAGTCCAACCCCCTGCCAAAGGAGGAAGTCCCCATCTAAAGCATCCCTGACAGGTGGTCATCCAACCTTCAGAGAGTTCCAAAGCAATCCATTCAATCATGGAACAGCTCTCATTGTTAGGAAGTTCTTATTAATGTTGGGGGGGGGGCAAATTAGCATACAATTTAAGTTCCCCCCAACCTGGTCACAAGCCTCCAGTGCCTCCAGGAGAGGAATCGCCACTGTAGTGTTTAGCATAAACCTGAGCTTGCAGTAGTCTTTCTTCTACCCCAATTTCTGTGGATTCCAAACTTGATTTATGTCTTTCTTAGAGACAATTATTTTCTTTTCTAGGAATTATATTATGTACTATTGCATTAAAATTACCTCCCTGGTGAAAAAGATCAATGACCTGTTGGTGTGAGAAGAATAAATGCATACAGTACCGCAAAGTTCTGATTCTCCTATTTCTTCCATTTTCCTTCAGCTTCAATTTCAAAGCGCATGTAGCAGAAAAGCTATCAGATTATTGATACAAGTAATCCTTTTGGATAAGCCCCCCCCCTCTAGCTTTACATTCCTTTCTTCTCTCACCTGGCCTGCATTAATGAAAGAGAACATGTTTTCACAGATGGAATCGCCATGAGTTCTCCTTTCTGTGTGCATCTTAGAGGAATTTTAGAGCTGTTGAATTGGCTAGACATTCCCCCCACCATCCCATTGATCAAAGTAAATTTTAAAAAGCAACCAGATATACCAGTTTTCATTTAATTCCTTCTAGCATTGTTGTCCTATAGATGCTTAGCCAGAAGTAAGTCTCATTTTATTCACTGGAGCTTTCTGTCATATAGATACTTAGGCATAAGACTGCAGCCTTAATTAAATTGGTCTAAACAAGGTCAGCACAGGAAGGCAAAAAATTGGGGTAGCAGGAGATGTCATGGTCACATTTTTCTGAAGGAAGTGGAAACTGGGAGAAGAATATTTATTTTCTTCTGTTTTGTTTTTGTTTATTTCTCACTAGAAAAGTTTTCCCCCCCCCAAAAAAGCACAATTATAGGATAACTTCAGCTGCTGGGATAGAATAGAAGATTTGCTGCACCAAGTGAAAAGGTAAAGGTAAAAGTCCCCCTTGACATTTAGTCCAGTCGTGTCTGATTCTAGGGGGCAGTGCTCATTCCCGTTTCCAAGCCGTAGAGTCAGTGTTTGTCCGAAGACAGTTTCCGTGGTCACGTGGCCAGCGTGACTAGACACAGAATGCCCTTACCTTACCACCGTGATGGTACCTATTTATCTACTGCCATTTTTACATACTTTTGAACTGCTAGGTTGACAGCAGCTGGGACAAGTGACGGGAGCTTATTCCGTCCCGTGGATTTGATCTTACTACTGCTGGTCTTCTGACCTTGCAGCACCAAGTAAAGCAGGAGCCTAAACATGGATACTGCCTTAATTACTGTGCCTTGGGTCCTTTTTAGGGAGAAAGGTGAGATTAAAACATTTTAAATGAATAAATACTACTGCTCTGTCCTGGGCGCTCATTCTAATTCTTGAATCCCCAGTGCATATTGAGGTGGAACTACTACTATAATATAAGCAGGAGGTAGTTTTGTGCCTATGTTGGTGATTAAAATACCCCCTTAGAGTCCTAAGAATGTCACAAAAAATTGCCCTTCAACCCATTCTGTCCTGTATCACACTAGACAGTAGCCCCCATAGTATAATTGTTACCTGTGGGGAGAGAATTGAATTTCAGAGAGACAGCTTTGCAGAGAGAAGGTCTAAACTTTTCCTATTCATACACTGTTATCTTTGTATAAGTACATTGATCATGTGTTTTGCTAACCTTGCAAACAAGATAGTAGAGTGGTCTGCAGAGCTGGTATATGAAATAAGATAAGGAACTGTTCACATGAATGCTGGTATTATTCTAAAGTAATTAAATAAACAGACCTGCGCTAGAGAGAGGAAGCTACACTGTGTGTCTGTGAGGTTTTCTTGATAATAAATATATGCTCAAATGTGGAAAGAGCAGTAAGCATATTCTGTTCTTCACACAGTATTTGCTGTTTTTTAAAAAATTATATGATTACCAACATAGGTACATATTACCTATGTTAATATGCAGCCTATAGGCAATAGGCAACATAGACACATATTGCCTATGTTGCCAATTGCCTATAGGCTGCATATTAACATCATATGCAGATAGGAATTAATACAGACTATGTGCAGTATTATTTCCTTTTTCATGCACTGATTTATTTTTTCATTTGTTTCTTCTAGGGTACTCCTGTTTTTGTACATGCTGGGCCTTTTGCAAATATTGCTCATGGAAACTCTTCAGTTTTGGCTGACAAAATTGCTCTTAAATTGGTTGGAAAAGAAGGATTTGTAGGTGAGAACAAACTCAAATGTGGCAGTGTCTCTTTAGAGCTGAAACAGTTTGGGTTCAAATCTATGCCCAGGTATTAATTGCTTGATTATGTTTTATTTAGCCTTAATTTGGTGTGTGATGTTGGTAACTTCTCCATGAAAAGATGCTTGACTATTTCTTTATTGGGGTTTCCATATCTGGATTTGCAGGACTAAATTTCCCATAAAAAACTGGCAGCTCGTGGCCTGAGTAGGAGGAGCATCTCTTCCTACAATGACAGGCCATTGGCATCTTGAAATCACACTGTGCCATGGGTTTATGGGTGAATTGCAACCTAGAGTCCCTGCCTCTGTTGTCACCGTGGAATGATGCAGGCCTTGAACAGAGTTTTAATGAAGTCCTTAACAGTATTCCAAAACAATCCATACTGCAAAAAGTGTAATTATAATTCTGTCACTTCAAATATGATCAGCAGAAAAAGGTTACATAATGTATTTCCTTAGGCTTAAGTTGCTTTACAGACACATCATTTCTGTTTTTAGGGCTGTTCCTCAGGGGTTAGAGTGTTTCATATACCGACCAAAGGTCAATCCCTGGCATCTCCAGCTGAGAAAAAGGGCTATTTTGCAGGTGTGTGTGCGTGTGCGTGTGTGTGTGTTTGGTGCCATTCAGCACAGGCAGCACTAAGCTAGTTGGACCTCTTATTTGGATCACTGTAAGGCAGTTTCCTATGTTTTTAATTTGAACATTAATTATTTGCAGGACTGTACAGATCTTTTGACCAAAAATGGTTTAAGGACTAGGAGGAGGACCCACTCCCATGGCTTTCATACTGGAGTCTTAGAACTAGCAGTCTTAGAACTAGCAGTAATCAAACGTAAGTTTGTTCAGAGAAGAGTAGCAAGGAGGTGGGGTAGGGTAGGTCCTGAGAGAAGGAGCCGACAGTTCAGATACCTTATCCTGAAATAATGATTAGCCGTTCCATTCTGCACTAGCTTGAACATGATGGTAAGCAAATTGGAATATATGCAAGCTCCAGTACTTCAAATGAAACAAATGGTTCAAAATAGATGGGCTGGGAAATTGAGACTTCAATACTTTGGTAAAGTGTAACTTCGTTGACCCAGACTGTCAGGTAAATAAATAGAATAAACATAAGCTTGAATATAAAAATGAGAGACAATGTCCTACTGTAAGGGTCTATTTATACTGAGGAATGAAAATTATAAGATCTCTAAATCAGTTGCCTTAAATCCAATTGCTAGCTTTGGTCAAAGTAGACCCACTGAATAAATTGCTAAAAGGTAAGTGAACATTTATGCAAATCCTGTTATTTCAGAGGGTTTGCTTTAGTTGGGATTAGCAACTAGATTTAGGCTACAGGAGCTGATTCGCTCATACATTAAACAAGATGCAATCCATTAGTAAAGACAGGGAACAGTTTATAAAGGCATTGTTAAGGCTTCATATTCATTTAGGTCAAATATAGACACTATTTGTTCTAAACTGGCAGAGGTATTGGGTATGCCAAAAAACCTCAAATGAAAAGAAGTAAATGAAAAGAAGTGGAAGACAGAAAACTTATTAGATCTAATAGAAAAATAGAAATGGGCATGAATCAGAAAAATGATGATTCATTTTGATTTGTGATTCATCAAGGTTGACAAATCATGAATAACAAATTCATGATTTTTTCCTGATGAATCAATTCATCAATTCATTTTTGCTTGTAAACCCTTTAAAATGCCCCCCAGCACTCAGAATTACCAGAATCACAAAGAAGCTTCCCCGACTCTTCTCTACAAGCCCTGCAAGTCTGGTGAAGGTTGGGTTTCAGACATCCAAGTTACACACTCACAAAGTGGTTCCCTCAGGAAAGTGCCCTTTCTTCACTACTCTTGGAGGGACTGTAGAGGTGAGTCAGAGGAAGCTGCCCTGTAAGTCCAAGTTACACACTCACAAAGTGGTTCCCCCAGGAAAGTGCCCTTTCTTCACTAATCTTGGAGAGACTGTAAAGGTGAGTCAGAGGAAGCTGCCCTGTACGTTTGGTGTCTCTAGGTGCCTGGGGGGGGGGCATTTTATAGCCCAACGAATCAATGAATAAAAAATCATTAAACTTCATTAATTAATATTTGTCAGTGGGATCGATTGAGATGAATACAAATGGACAAATTAGAGATTTTGTATTAATTTTGCAATTTGTTTTTTAATTGTGCCTATCCCTAGAAGAGAAACAAAAATAGGAAAATAAGATGACATCAAATATAGAAAATTACAAAGGACTGAAACACACTTAGGGAAACCAAAGTCAAATGAAAAAAACACCTAGGCCAGTGTCCTATTGAGCTTCCACTGAGCAGGGAGTCCCACTAGCTTATTTATTTTTATTTATTTTATTTATATCCCGCCTATCTGGTCTTATGACCGCTCTACTGGGTCCATGTGCGGTTGCTATACAAGGATTTATATCCCGCCTATCTTGTCTTACGACCGCTCTAGTGGGTCCATGTGCAGTTGCTATACAAGGAAAGGGCAACTTTTAGTAATTGCCACTTGCCCAATGGCACCACCTGCACAAGTCGCACCATCCTGTATTATTAGACTGATGAGACTTTTCACTCAGCAAGTATTCAGTAGAATACTAGCCCAAGAAATTATAAACCATGTAAAAGGCAGAAAGCTAGGATAATTCATTCATATATTAGGAATCAAAACAAATTGTTAATGCCTATTCTTTCAAGGTCAATAAATGGGAAAATAAATGCAGACAAACTTCTTGGCTGAAGAAGATAACTGGTTTGGATGTAACATAACATTTTGATCTACTAGATAGCTGAGTAGTTTAGGCAAAGCCAGAGGTTGGCAGTTTGATTCCCCACTGTTCTCGAGTTGGACTCGAGAATCCATAGGGCCTCTTTGAGCTATGCCAGTTTGATTCCCCACTGTTCCTCTTTGATAAGGGTTGGACTCCAGAATCCATAGGGCCTCTTTGAGCTATGCATTTCTAAGATTATTATTGTTTAGAGTAGACACTTCAAAGCTGAAATAGCCATGATGACATCCAGCCTCCAGTAGGATTAAAATAACTGATGTAGATGAAAAACATATAAGTGCAAAAGGTTAGTAACAGTGTTTAGGGCCCAGGAGATCCATAGTTTCCAAAACTAATTTCCAAATTTCCAGATGGCACAAAATAATACATTTCTGGAAAAAATTCCAGTAGACATCAAGAGACAAATCTGTTTCTTGGCCATGCCAGTTCTGCATGTGTTCATTCAATGATCCATTTATCTTCTTTTCCACATTAGTCTGTGCATTAAAAAAGACTCATGAAAATATCACCTCTTGTGTCTTCATACATGCTTTTTAACATGTTCCTTGCAAATTGTATTTTTCACGAATTTTTCATTCATTTGCTCCTGAAATACATGTTTTTGTATGCATTTTAACTGAGAAATACACATTTAGGATTTACATGCACACACACATTTTGATACATAAAGCCAAAGGAATATGTCCCAAAAATGTGGAGATATGTAAAAGCTGAAGGATAATCACCTTCTGATCAGCTAGTGACCCAGAAGTATGCATCAGCTGACTTAGTGAAAAAATGCAATCCCAGATAAAATTCTCAAGCATCTCTAGTTTTCCAGCTCAAGCGTTGGAATGGTCCGTCCTGATAGTTTGCAAGAGTCTGCAAGGCTGCAAGATTTTATCACTTACACTGTTTCAGGGAGAGAATTAGTAACACAGTTATCCTTTCCCCATGTGCAATCTTTTAATAACCTGGTTTCCTTAAATAGTGTTGGATTATCATTTTGATTGGTAGTACAGTATATCTGGAAAGCATCAGACTGGGAAAGGCTACGACTGGGCTTTCCCTAGCGTGGTTTGCCTGATTTTCTGGTACAGAGATTTCAGATAAGTGACTGTACACATAAAAACACAATGATCAAATGATGCCAGCACCATGCCAGAACTGAAGGTATGCATTGGCCTTTAGAATGCATAAAAGTACAGTACTGTGTACAGTTTGGAAGCGTGCCCAACCTCATGAAATTCTTGAATGGTTAGTAACAATGGAACAGTTATATAATAAGTCAAGGGCAGGGACAGATGTACGGCTTTTAAAAATATATTGGGCCATAACCATTGAATAGAGAATAAAATTTTATGTATTTTGTCTTTGCTGTTCGTCACAAAATAAATCCATCATTATTTCTAGTTCTTTTAAAAAAGAGTATTAGTTTCAGATTTGTATATTTTTAATGGAAGTTTTATTGAAGAGATTTTTTGCTGTTGTTTCCAACATATATAATAAAATCAGAATACTCCCAAGTGCTGTAAGATAGGATTCACTTCTCTTATTGCACTAGCAGATAATTGGTGAAATTCTGGGAGGCTTTGTGAATGTTGTTAAGCTTAAGCATAAGCAAGCTTTAATAAACTGTCAAAATAGTTTGCCTTCTTTATAAAGCTGTTCATCAGGCTAAAATGGATGAACAGTAGTTGCTTAGCACATACGAGTGCAGCACATACACAGTCATATTTCAAGAATAGTCTTATACATAGCCATACTCAAAAGAGTATAGCAAAAGGCTTATAAATCACATTATAAAAATAGAATAGTATGTATTTAAAATAGGAAATTAATAATACTCAGTACACACAGACATGTATGTATATATGTACAGTATATATGTGTGTATATATGTATGCAAGTATATAGCAAAACACTTTGCAGAATTTCTTTGGTAGAATTTCAGAGCTCTTTATGATTGTTCTTTGAAGCTTGACCTCCCTGAAACATTACTATGCATTGACAGTTCCAGAACATTAGCTCCTATGCCTATCGTATGTCATAATATTCCCTCTCTTTTGAGGCTACAAATCTTTGCATAGGTTTGGAAAACATCATGCCTTCTTAGTGTGCTACTGCAGAAAAACAAACAAACAAACAAACAAACAAATAAATAAATAAATAAATAAATAAATAAAATTAAAGTCTTTTGAACCAAATT